TTCATTTCTTACATCAGAACCATAAATAGTGACTTTAGCTGTAAGATATTTAAACTATTTAAAAAATTATATATATAAACTCATTGGGAAACCGAATTTGCAACTTGTCAAACATTCAGTAAAACATAGTTGAAAATGGGGTCTTAAGATCGGATAGCAAGAAAATAAATAAAAAATATTTGGATATGAGTTTTAACTATGTTCATAATAAAGTCCCACTATTCCAAATGATTGATTGTAAAATGAATTTTATTTATACTTTGATATGAATTTATTAAGGATGCTAAACCCTGATCACATTTCGTTATTCAGTAGGTACAAAATATGCCATTTGTCTCCTAAAACTCCACATCCACAGATTATTTTCTGGATTTAACTTTTCATCTGTTTTAATAAAGTAACTTGATTTAAAAAATCCAACAATTGCGTATTTCTTTCATAGAAATCATTTACTCAAAAGACTAAGAGATTAAAAAGAAACAAGACAGCAGCATTTGTTGGATCACCTTTATTTCCATAGTTTAGTTAGAGTTTTGGGCATTTTTGTTAGAGACTTGAGGGTCAGGGGTCAAAGATGTGAGGATCTTTGTTTCTCCAGGATGTAATCAGATATCTGCCTGGTGGTTTCAGGGCAGAATGTAAATAATCACTTGTGGATTTCCAGGAGTTCGTATTAAAGTGACTGTAAAAGGACCAGTTAGCCCAGGCCTCAGATCTCAGTTCCCTGAGTTTGTAAAATCCCGATGGAGGTAAAATACCAAGAAGCTACTTTTGCATTCATCTACAGGAGTTATTGCTCTTTGAAAAGTACACAAATCTAATGCACAAGCAAATGATTAGTATCATTAAAAATATGATGCTTTACTTGCAAGGCGTCTAATACAAAGAGGTACGTTGTAGTTCAGACAATTGTTTCCAGATTAAAGCTGTTTGCATGTTAGCGACATAGCTGCATTCATGGTTTTGTTGAAGTAACTTGGTTTGGCTGCAAATTAAAAAGTTTCAACTTTATTTCTACATTAAACATTCACTACTTTGGGGCTTCATTTAAAAGATCTCATGCATATCTAAAGTCTGTATGCAAGCACTCATCCAATCTGTGCCTCAGTCGCTCTTTTGTTGTTACAGTGCATTCAGGATTATACGTATATACAATGTTATACAAAACTGCCAATGCCCATTCATGGCTTCCTACTAACAAAAGGTACAAGATGCACCAGCACAGAGGCTGGGGCGGATATTGCTTGGTTCTGGAACTAAAACAGTTCAGCTTGTCACATTAAAGTGTCTCTCTGGAACAAAAGGAGTTGTCTTCTGCACACAAAGCCATGTTCCCAGTGTGTGTGTGTGTGTGTGTGTGTGTGAGAATAAAATAGGATAGCTGCTCAGTGTCCCAGCACCAAATGTGTCCATATTGAGGTGTCCAGGGGCCTTTGGGTCTTTTTCAGGTGTGAATTCAGTGAGAGCCTTTGTCAATCAGCCAAGAAATGTCTCCAGTCCTGCAACACAAAAGACTTCAATCAGATCGAGTCTCAGTGGACGTCCGTCTGAAAACAGACGAGAGCTGGAGTGTTTCCATACTTGCCGAGCCGCGCTAACATCCTACAGATTTTGTTTGCATTAACGGGAAAGACACAAGAAGACATGAGGAACACTGTGGTTATATGATACAAACATTCAAAGAAAGCATAAAGTCTCATGTTTAAGGGCACACTATGCAAATTTTCGTATTTTATATCATTTTTTGAGGCAGTTTGTACTAAAGTGACTGTTTACAGAGTTAATGAGATGTCACTCAGACCCCCACTGCACTTTGTGGCCAGAATATCACACTTGCAACTTCAGAGTGCCAGTCTGGTCTTTTGGACTTAAACAAAAGTGGAGCTGACATGCTTTGCGCTGCAGTCTGCCTCCAGCATGTTTCCTGCATGTTTTAGATCATGAACACAGCTGATTTGTTTGATTTAGTGATGAACCGATCCTGTAGACACAAATGAAGACTGGGAGACATTTCAGCTGTTAGATTAAGGTGTTAAAAAGAACGCACAGCGAGGAGATATTTTGCTTTTGGTTCTACTAAATGGACACTAGGGGGTGCTAAAAGCAAGCCAAAATGGCCTAGTCTCCCTTTAAATATGAACATAAAACTGAGTCATTTTTAAAATCTTTAAAATGTATTTAATCAATTAGAATTTTGTATTTTAAAAGGTTTAAACTTTAGTATAACAGGTATGAATAGTGTTTATAAAGTGTTACAATAGATTATCAAAATAAAAACTAATGAATAAAAAAATGGCATTTTGTACATCCTCTGTGATGCGAAGGAAAATGTTTAAAACCCACCAGAAGATTTGTAAAAATACTTTTGAACTTGAATTTTTTAATTTTCTATATATCTGGTCTGTTAGTTGCTGCAGTTTCTGTGGGAAAGTCTGGATTGGCTTAAAAACAATGCAAAAGAAAAACAACCACGTGCGTTACTATAGTTTTCTCCATATTTCTGATCATTTTCATGTAATTTCATTGGATTCAAGTCCCACACCTACCCAATAAGGGTACTTTTTAATAACAAGTCATTTGTCCCTCCTAGGCTAACATAAACTTTAACCAGATTTGAATCTGAAACGGAAACTCACTCTACATCCCGCTTCCTAATTGTCTTTCCGGATCCCAGCACCTCTGCGACTCGGGACGCAATGGGATCATAGTTCATGCTAGCCACAGCAACCACCTCCTCACCCCTGTAAAGAAGGAAAATCACCCCAAATAAGTGACTGAAACAAGGTTAAATGTGTCAATTAAGTTTATCACCTGGTATAAAATGCAACAAATCGCAGTTCATCCAGATCCCCTTGAATGATGACATCATCAAATCCATCACCATAACCTACACAAATAAAAAGAAAAGTAATTACTGCTTAAATATCTTAATCTGTGCCACCTGTCCTTGGTTTTTATGATGTAATAATCAGTTCAATCAATGAAGGGGGAAGTTTTCTACAGGAAGTCATCTCAAAATGTTTCATTGAGGCTGCAACAAACTAAACTTCCTCCTTATCTGCTTCTTTCTATGCCACCAGTGACTTTATGTTTAAACATTGATGATAAATCTCCCGTTTAGCCTTTGACTTCAATCTGATGCTACGTATCATCGTAGCTTTATTCATTCTCCCTACCTGCATAGCGGATGGTCTTCCCAAACATGGCTGACCAGAAATAAGGCACAGTTGTGATCTCAGTGGATCTGCCCATCATGCTGAGTGCTGCCACTCTGCCTGTCAGCCAGGATAAAAGAATAAAAACACTTGATGCATTTACATTTGAGTCGCATCTGCAGCCTGGAGGATGCTGTGACACACTCACCGTGCACATGAGCCATCTGCCAGTGAGGGATGTTCACCTTCTTGTTGTTTCGAGGTGGGAAAGGAAACACCACCACATCTCCCCCGGCAAAGACCCCATCAACATTTGTCTGCATCGCCTGCAGTGGACGAAAAGGTCAGAGACAAAAACAGGAAGGAATTAAAAACAACACCTGATAGACTTTCTCTCAGTCCCTCTGCACCTTATTGACAGTGATGAAGCCCTTGGAGTCCAAGTGGATGCCACTCTGTTTCAAGAAGCTTGTAGCAGGAACGCTTCCTGCAGAAGAACAGGTTAAACGTGGAGATAAATGAAAGATTAAACATGGTGCATTTATTAATCTGCTTACCTGCTCCAATGACACACACATCTGCCCTCAGGACCTTCCCACTCTTCAGTACAACCTCTTTGAGCTGTGCAACATGTAATGGAAAGGGTTCATGTACACTTAGAACTGAAATCTGAGCTTCTGCATGCATTAAATATAATTTGGTATTACTCTGTTTCCTCTTTTATACAAAGAACATCTTAAATTTTTAGTTATTAAAATATGTTGATGAACAACCCTTTTTTTTTAGAATCCTTGTACTTGACATATAATGTAACCAGCTTCTCTGCTGTGGCCCCCAGACTCTGGAAATCTCTCCCCCTGAGCCTGTGATCAGTGGACTCAGTGAACTCCTTTAAAAAAACAGCTGAAGACTCACTTGTTCAAGCTGGCTTTTGTATGACCTTCATCACCACTCTCTTTATTCTGCTCTCCCCACCTATTCCACCTTCCTCAGGATCCACTGATTTCCATCTTTCCTGTTCTCTCTCTCTCTTTCTTAACATTTTTGATCACAATTGCCTATTTTTGCTCATTTTAATATATTTTTAAACATTTTCTAAATGCTTTTTTATATTTTTGCATTTTTTTGTTTTTGAAGCACCTCGTGATTTTTATTTTGAGAGGCGCTATAGAAATGATATTTTCTTCTTCTTCTTCTCTATCCTTCCTTTCAGGAGTTTTACGCCATTATTCTTTTTAGTTTATCGTGTTGTTTAAGGATCTAATGTGAGTCCATCTAACTGGTAGACATGAATAAATGAAGAATTTTTCTATTCAAATAGTTGATTTTCCATGTCTTTTAATGTTCAGCAGCACCCCCTGGTGGCCAAACATTTCTTGACAAAAACAATCACTATTATGCAGTGGAAAGCTGCTCAGTACAATCATTGAGTCAAATGTTTTTCCTGCATAATATATTTTGTTTAATATGAGTTTATTTTTTCCAATAATTTAAAGCAATAGCTAACCTTCAAGGTTTTAAAGGTAACCTATTTTTGGTTAGTTATTGTGTTATTTTCTGCTGTTACTGATGAGGAGGGAGCAGTGCATCTAAGCAACATGTCATGCTGTTTCTCTCACTTTCTGAATACCTGTCCATGATGACCAATCATCTCCGCCACCTCGTTCAGCATGTAGAACTTCACCCTGTTTGTCTCAAATAGCTGCAAGCACACACAGTCACGCATGAAAACCACATCACAGCCCCAGGATCAATCACTGCTAATGAAAAGCTCTCACACTCTGCTCTGTCCTGCACTATTGACCAGACAGAAAATAATGTGATTTGCATTTTCAACAAGGACCTCCCTCTCAGGCAGACTGCTGATGGTGGTATTATGGGCATGCTTCATGATGCATAAAGCTTGATTTCCCAGGAGCGTGTCTTTACCTTCATTATGGCTTTCCCTACTTTCTCCCCAAGAGCTTTTTTAAAGGGAACGGTCTCGACCCCGATGACTGAGACTGAGTGGGCCTTGTCAGTCAGAGCTGCAGCCACCTCCAGTCCTGCAGACACAACTTTAGGATTATTCAAGTTACCTAGTGCAGAATGATACAAGGAAGTGACCAATCAAAGGAAAAGTAAACCAGCAGACCACTTAGTGAATGCCTTGTTCATCCTAATCTCTTCTGAATTAGTCAGAAACGTCTTAATAACACGAGAAAACAAAACAAGTATAAATTACTCCCAGTTTTCACATTAGATAGATAATCTTGTAAAAAAAATTCAGTCGGTTTAAAGGTGCATGATGTAAGAATGACATATTGTGGTCAAATGTGGGTACTGCAGTCCATGTATTAAAGCAAGAAGGTCAGCTCTCTGTCACTCCCACCCTTTCTTTTGCAATATTCATGCTGGTTGGCAGTTATCGATCAGTGTCAGAAGATTCTAGATGACGAGTAAAGAAGAGTCATACGGAGTAAAGCCACATTTATACTTCTTTGTCAGCTACACGAGGGAGATACACGCACACACTGACAGAGACATTTTGCCTTCGGACTTCTCTGTCTCCTGGCGGAGTGTTGCAAAGCAACTCTCCGCCAGGACAACAGAGGGCGTAGCGCTGTTCTATGGTATCCTGTCATGTATCCGGTCCAAAATATTGTGTTTATATTGTGGGGTTATTTTTTTGTATTGACGAGACTTTTTAACACAGATAAATTTGTCTCTCATCCTCCTCCACCTCTTCATGCACTCGCCACCTCTTAACCCACGTTTCTCGTCAAATAAAACGCTTGCTGCGTATCTTTTCTCTCCTCCAGTGATGGGGGAATAAAATGGTCAAATTTTTAGAGTTTTTCTGCGACGTATTCTTCAAGCCGCTCCGTGTCTGTCACTAGATATCCTCGGCTCTCTATGTTTTTAAGGGCGCAATGGCGGTGCTGTAGACGACAGCGTCGTCCCGACCAATCACAAGCTTGCATTCTCTGTCTCGACAGACAGATGTCTATAAAAGAGAGCTCGACTCCGTCCATCCTTGCAAGCCTGCTGGAGAGCCCTCGCAAGAACAATGGCGTTGCGTGCCTCCATCCCAACACAGACGGAGAAGTATAAATTAGGCTCAAGTTGATCAGTAAATGAATATATTTCATTGTATTATCATGATTTTGGTCATTAAAAAAAGTAACATGAGATACATTTACAGCCAACTATTATTATAATTCACCGTTAGCATTGTTAGCTCAACATTAGCTTTTAGCTATCTTTAGAGTAAAACAAATAGATGGTGTGGCTTCATGGGGTTACGAAATACAATTTTGGAGTTTTAACTAGATGATAATCTTTCCACAACTCTGCCACTTTTTGCTGGCAGGTGTTAAATTACAAATGCCGGTGTCAGTACAAGATCTGCTCGGGTGCAAGATTGGCTCGGGGTCCTTCGACTGCCGATGACATCAAAGTACGGCAAACCCACTTGGACAAAATACACTACACATCTATACTGTTGGAAAGAATTTAGCAGTTTCGTTATTAAAATAATGTTTCTTAAGACGTAAGTTTGTGTTTATAATGGTGTTTGTAAAATAGACACTATATTTTATTCATAATGTTGAATTCCTCTTTGAGCACATCCCTTGAAGGATCATAGGTATTAGCAACACCTGTGAAATTGTATTTGCAGGAAAGAAGTGTGTCCCGTTTATTGAAGTATTTTGTGTTTAGTTTTTGACCTTTTGTCAATGCGTAGTTCAGTTACGCTCATAGCTGCTAGCCAAAACTCTGGAGTTAAAAGTTTTCTGGCTTTACTAAAATACCTGTCTGTACTTATTTGATTGATGGTAGTTTTACTTTCTATTAGACTCCAAATGTAATCATTTGGCACGTTTCTAATTCATAATTTGTAATAATGGAATCGGTGATATTAGCATTAGCATTCCTATGGGTTTTTCCACGTATATTAGCATTGCGCTAACCACTCGCTGCCAAATTGCAGCCTTTGCGATTAGAAAATCTCCTTTTGTCACATCGCAATTTAATTGCACATGCAGTTAATCGTTCAGCCCTAATATACATGCAGCTCTATGCTAAAAGTGTATTTTCAAAGAGGTAATGATGGATTTCTTTGTAAAAGTTGTCCATCTTTCTGTCACGTTTGGAAGGATGGAGATGGTGGACCATGTGTGGTGGGGGTTCCGGAGGCAGAAGAGCAGGCAACGGATGAAAAAATAAAAATGGTTTAATTAATATGGCAGGTAGGATGGTACAGCAGGAGCAAACGTAACACGGTGAAAACAACAATGATCTGACAACTGACAGGAGCAAAGAGGGAGGTATATATACACAAGGGAATCAGGAACACATGGGCAGAGTAATGAGGGACAGGTGAGAACAAGAAGGGTAATCAAGGCAGGAGAGACACAGTCAGGGAGGCCGGGGTGGATCATGACACTTTCCAACAGAAAGATTTGCCTGGACCAACGTAACGTGATAACAACGTAACGTGATTACGTAATTCCGTAAGGTTCATGTTCAGCCAATCAACTACTTTGACGTCATCGGCAGTCGACGGACCCCTAGCCGATCTTGCACCCGAGCAGATCTTGTACAGACACCGGCACAGATCTGGCAAATTTGCAAGCTCACATATGATTAGCTCTGGAAACAGGAAGTATGGAGGGACGGGTGGTAAACAAAGACTACATCCCTCTTTAGCAATTTAAAAAAAGGAAAACCTGGAAACCCTCCAGCCTACTCAGAAGGAAATCTGTTTGAATGTAACTTTCTTTCCAACATGATAGAGATATTAGACTGTTTTGTGATTATTTTACAGTAAAATTCTTATTTATTGCACCTTAAATTAATTTAACAAACTGTTGCAGTTTGTTTTTGTTTACTTTATCATACGTTTTGGAAGATTAATCACTAGATCAGGGGAGAATTGCTCAGGGATGTTACTCAACAACCAGCTTTTTTTGTCCTTTACAAAACTAAAACAATGTTTTCTTTGAGTATTTAGATTTAGGGGCTTTTTGGTCATGTTTGGCCCTTAGTTGTCATCCATAAACTACCCAGATGTCAGGATTTTATTCACATCGGTTCCTATGTCTCACCGACGAATGACGTCCCAACTATCACAGCGTTCTTGTTGTTGGCCAGCCTTGCCACACTGTTAGCATCCTCAGGAGTCCGGAGGTGGAACACATTCCTGACATCTTTACCCTTGTAGTTCATCGCTTTGGGTCTGAAGCAGCAAAAATGAACAAATCACTTATCATAATAGACATTTGCAATTACAAAAAGATTTTTCCTACTTGCTTCCTGTAGCAATAAAGAGTTTCTTGTACTCCATCCTTAAGCCATCTTCAAATAAGACAGATCGAGTCTTCACATCTACAGCTACAACCTAAAGTAAGTATGGCATTAGTGGGATTTTAGAGATATTTTAAATTAAATATTAATGGAAGACATTATTATAAATTATCTGACTACATCTTTGACCCATATGCTTGAGAGGTCGCCTCTCACTCACCTCTCTCTCTGTGAACAGTTCGATGTCGTGGTCCTGCAGGAAGTCGATGGAACGTAGCCTCAGCTGCTCTGCTGTGCTATCTAAGGACTGAGGACAAGCAAGTTAGCGCTGAGTAAATACAAACAAAAAGTCTTACCACAGAACAACACAGTCTAGAAATATGACATCCCAAAATGATTAACTTTCACATCTTTACACTGAAGTTGTTTTAGGTTCTGTAAAATAAAAACTTCTGTTTTTATTTTACATTATAAACTCTTTGAGCTTATAACTGCAGAGCGAGTTTTCATTGTATGATTTGGTTTTATGGGTTTGCATTGAAGCTGCTCTCCAAAGAGCTCCTGTTTTAGCAGCACCATGTCATGTTCTGTGTCCCTGTGGTCCCCAGCCCCCTCCAGGTTCCCTCATGTGTCCCCTTGTGTTCTCCATCCCTCTCTAGGTTCCCCTTATGTGTCTCCTTTAGTGTGGGTGTTTTCCTTCTCCACTTGCTTATTTCTCCCTCACTCCTCAGGTCTTTAGTTATTTATATTTTGATTCTCCTGTGCCCTGAGGCTTTTAGGTTTATTTATGTAGTCTCATAGGTTATGGCTTATTCCCCTCCCCTGCTTAGTTTTCCCTTCCCATTTGGTTTATTTATTTCGTCAGGCTCTCCTCTGGTTCTCTCTCCCCACGCACCTGCTGCTCGTTTCCTAATCACCCAGCCCCTGTGTATAAAACCCTGTCTTGTCTCTCAGTGGCTGTTTCAATTCAGGGTCTGCATGCTTCGTCGGACTGATTCGTCGGCCGGTTACGTCACAGCGCCGCGACTAGGCCTGTCCCAATTCGAAGACTCCTTCAAATGCGGTCGACGAATCCGACCTTCTTTTCGCCTGTATGAAGGATGGGTCTGGTGTATCCTTCAATGGTTTACATTTCAGGGCTGCGCAGTGGCTAGAGCTGTTGCCTTGCAGCGAGAAGGTCCTGGGTTCGATTCCCGGCTTGGGATCTTTCTACATGGAGTTTGCATGTTCTCCCTGTGCATGCGTGGGTTCTCTCCGGGTGCTCCGGTTTCCTCCCACCGTCCAAAAACATGACTGTTAGGTTGATTGTTCTGTCTAATTTGTCCTTAGGTGTGAGTGTGTGTGTGCATGGTTGTTTGTCCTGTGTGTCTCTGTGTTGCCCTGCGATGGACTGGCTCTCTGTCCAGGGTGTACCCCGCCTACTTGCCTGTTGACTGCTGGAGATAGGCACCACGTTGGCCGAGTAGGCTGGGTCCTTCGAAGGATGCAGACCCTGAATTGAGACACAGCGAGTGTGTGTCTGTCCATTGTCGTTGTCAGTGTTGTTCTGTTCCTCCTCGTGAAACTCTAGGTTTTGCTCATCAAAGAGCTTTTTGTTTTTGTCAGTCGGGTTCCTGAATTTAGGCTTGGCTTCCTGCCCCTTTTTGGATTTTTGGACATTGACTCCTAATAAAAGGATTTTACGTTTTACTACGCTCCTGCCTTGTGTTGTTCTGGGTTTCTGCATCTTGGGTCCTGACCTCCTGGCTCAAACGTGACACACCTCTGCAGAATGTTATGCCACCATCTTGGCAAAAGCAGCTGGGTGTCAGCGTGTACAGTCTGGGTCTGTGTACAAACCTTACTCAGTTTAGGCCTGTCGTACGGAGGGTGTCTGTCCATGGTGCACATCACGATACGATCAGTGAAGCTCTCCTGCCTCAGCGTCTCTGCACACACCAGAGCAGCCGGACCTGCTCAGCAGCAACAACATAAAAACTCAGCTTTGAAAATGAACAGATTTTAAATAAGCTGAAAGAAAAATGAAGTAATGCAGCAACCTGAGCCGATGATGAGAACGTGGCTGAAGCCTGAGCTGGAGTTAATGACGGCTGAGCACCGAGCCATTGGTTTTAATCTTTTCTGTGACTGAAGAGCCTGGAAATATATTTTAAAAAGATCCATGACCGCTTTTGCTCACTCCCTTTCAAAACTCCTCTACATTCTTACCTGTTTCTTACCTGCTTGTTTGCACGAATGATCACCTTTTCCTTTTCCACTCTGACCTGGAGCAAACAGACATGATGCGTGCATCTAAAGACACGTCCCAGAGGAAATGTGTTGAGACATCAATGAGGAGGCTCACCTGGAAGGTTGGCAGACTGTCCAGACCTGGGAAGTCCTCAATGTCTCCTGTTGTGATGTTGAAACACGCGCCGTGCCAGGGACAACGCACGTGTCCTTTAGATAGCACACCTGGAATGAAGTCAAATACACACTGTTATGTTTGATTATATGTGTTAATTAATGAATTTGTTTGTTTGCTTATTTGGCAGACTCTTTTATCCAAAGTGACATACAGTTGTTAACCTGCAGGGCCTATTGTGTTACAGTAATTAGGTGACTCACCTTTGACCAGTGGGGCTCCATAGTGAGGACACTTGTGGCCCATGGCGGAAAACTCTCCATGTTCTTTGATCAACAAAGCTCTGCCACTTCCCAAGTCCACCTCCCTCATTCTGGTTCAAACGCAAAAACAAGGTGGGAGTTTATCCTTAGTAGAAACAGAGAGCCAAAGGACAACTACTGAGCAGCTCTTCAGACATGCAACTTTTTATCAGGGCAAGTCCTCTAACCTCCTTAGACTCCGTTAGTGTACATTTCACTTAAACAGAATAAAGACAACATTTTTTTATTAAATTATAATAGTTCTGTGGTTGATTCAAAACATGTTCATGAAGTTCTTTGCACTAAATCCCTCTCACATTAAGTGATTTTTTGCTCAATTCCATTTTTAGTTGTTTTTATAACAGAAAAGTTTTTTTTTACTTTGCTGACAGTTTCATTTGGTGGTTCATTTTCCACCATCAGCAGCAGCTCTTAGGAAGTTTTGCAGTCGGCAAACGAAACTGTCAGCAAGGTAAAAAAAAAACCTTTTCTGTGTTATAAAAAAGAATTATAAATGGAATTGGAAACTAGACACAGCAGGAACATACCAAAGAGATTTCTGCTCAAATCTTGACATTTTCAGAACCTTTCAGAATGAGCTGCTTCAGGGCTCTGTCACTTACACACTAGCATCGGCTCCACTCTGATTTGCCCTCCACACCATGGTGTGCGCTCCACACTGCCTTAGGAATGCGGACATGATGGAGCACATCAGCAGTCTCCAAAATGGGTGCAAAAAATAGATATCAGCGATGTCACGAGTGCATCTCCGAGCACATCGGTGGGGCAAAAAAGAGCAGAGAAGTCTGCGGTGTCTCCATTATCAAACAAAAGTGGCCTGAGCAGTCTTGCTTTTGGAAACTCTGATACCCGCTTTGCTGTGTTTGGCAGCACTGTGTGTGTGTGTGTGTGTGTGTGTGTGTGTGTGTGTGTGTGTGTGAGAGAGAGAGAGAGAGAGAGAGAGAGAGAGAGAGAGAGAGAGAGAGAGAGAGAGAGAGAGAGAGAGAGAGAGAGAAATGGCTTCAGTCAAAGGCTCGTTAACTACACAGCATCCAAAATTATAATTTATCGCGCATCCGGGAAGCCCTGCTGATTCTGTCTGCCAATCGGACGCTCCCTCCAATGGTAGGCATCAATTTGAACTGGCCAACAGGTCAGCGGTGTTGGTGTTGACCAGTTCGGCTCCAGGCCTCGGGAAGAGGGCTGAAAAGACGTCCGGCTGTGCATGGGAAAATCCAAGGCTATGAGAACACGCCAAACCCAGTCCAGGCACAGCAAAGCTGATGCTGGTGTGTAAGTGCCATAAGAAAACAAACCAGAGTTGACCATGCCCACCCACCCCTAACTCAGGCTGCTATAAGCTGAGAAGCTCTGATATCTTGGAGGGGCTCTGAGTAGAGCCGCTGCTCCTCTGGCCTGGAGAGCTGAGGGGGTGTTCTATGCAACACTTCACAAACAGGGACTATTTGAAACAGCTTGTTTTAGGCTCATAATTCCTAAATCCAAACTTTTTGACAGATAAAGAATGAATGGATCTTATTTGACGTTTGTAGTGCTCATAGAAGCAGTAGAGACCCATGTGGCTGCACAAAAGGATGCAAAAGGTCAGTTTTGCATAAAATGTTCTCTTTTAAAAAGAACACAACAAAACATTTTGACAGGTCATTCCACACAGAATGTGGTTTTGCCAGATTAATAAACAAACCCCTCCCAATTACTTTGGTAATGGTTCTATACAAACGGGGCTTTCTCCAGATGGTTATTAATGCTATTGCTCTTCTCCACCTGGTGATTCATAAAAGCATGGCCATTTGGGACTTTATATTGTACAAATGCAAAATAAAACCGAACAACATCTAACTTGTATTTAATGGTTATTGTGATCGTACTGAATGAGTCATTTTAAGTGCCATGGACACTTGTGTATATTTTAAAGTTATAGCATTCCAGCCCCTTGTTTCATATAAGTTCATACTAATGCATCTCTAGTGAGAATGCTATAATCCTAATCAGGTCCTTTTCATCATTACATTAGGATGGAAATAATGGATCAATAAGAAACATCTCCACGAGCCTGAGAAGTATTTGTTGTGTTCTTACTGTCCATTTTCCAGGTCTTTAATGTGACACACGGACGCCTCCACATAGTCTCTGGATTTGTGGCCAGGCGGCAGCAGCGTGGGGTCGTCATCAGAGCCGTGCCCCAGAGCCCCGTTAGGTCTGCAGTCAGCAAAGGGACTGGCTTTTCCATTAGGCGACAGGCCGTCCACCTCTTTTTCTTTGTCCAGGTGAGAGAGCTCCACTTTAACTTCAACTGCTCAACACAAAGCATGCCTTCCTTAGAAACCAGTAACACACAGTGCAATCAGTTCCTGTCAATGGATAGGTAGTGTTTAAGGAAATAATGTTTTTATGGACAGATTGTTACCCATTACTATTGATGGCTATTTACCCCTGTCCTCTTTTTCTGTTATTTCTGTCCTTCAGTGCTTTGGAAAAGTAATTTCCCTTTAGGCAAAGAGAGTGGGTCAAACTGACTGAAATCTCTTCATGTGAAACAAATTAAAGGGGAGAGCAGAACTTTGAAAGGACAAGCCGGTCTGAGATTAGCTTTGATTGAACTTTTTTATGCAAATAACAATTTTTCATTGGAAAAAAGTAAAACAGTTATACATTTTGTGTGAAAAGATGTTCTATGTATAAAATAACCTGATTGTATTATTAAATCTGGGTGATCTGGGATAGAAAATGACCTACTGACAGGAAAACGATGCCTTTGCGCTCATGTGAAATGCAACTGAGAAGATGTTTTTATCTGTTGTATGTTTTTAGCAGTACACAGGGTGCTGCTGTTGGTGCTGCATTGGTGAACATTAAGAAAATGGTTGCGTGACTCCACTTTTTTCACAGCAGCAAGCTTTATCTGTTCGGCTGGAAAAATGTGCTGATCATCCGGTTCCTTTGCAGTAATCTGGCTGGAATGTTGTCCTGCTGAGCAAGTCTTAATTAAAATCAATGGAAAATCATAATAGTGAGAGCAATTGCAACAGAAAGGAAAGGGAAGGCTTTCTGCAGCTAAAGAGAATCTCCTGTAACGCTCCGCTCTGAAGGAGACGCTGCTTCACTGATCAGGTCATCTGGTTATGTGTCAAAAACGTCTTCAGTGATTTTTGTTTAATAATCCACACTCAGAGCTCTGATGCCAATGGGACATTTTCCTGGTCAAAAACACCAAAGTTTACATCATGCATCACTTCCTTGCATCAAAAGTCTTTCAGCACATGTTTATGTGAATTACCTAACCGTGTCTTTTATTGTCTTGTAGCTTTAGAGCCACAACAAAGTCTAGAGAATTTACCAGAAGCATCAGTTTGAGTCTCAGTTTAGAAAACTGCTGACATAAACCTAACCCGAGTTTTACTGTAATTAAAATGCCATTGATGTTATTTTAGTGAGGACTGAATTCAGCTGTATTTTGGTGCATTTTGATATTAATCGTTTAACTAGTTGATCAACTGCGCAGTAGAGCATTTTAATATTGCAGCATGAACCAAACTTACCTGAAAAAACACCAAATCAAAAACATTTTAAATGAAATATTTTAATTTTATTTTTGTCATTGTATTCTATTTTAATTCTTGTGGTAAAAAAAATGCAAAAGCTTTCATAATTTTGCAAAAAAATATTTTATTTAACACTGATGGTGTTTTCAGCTGCCTGCGCGGTGGATTCAGGTAAGTTTTTCTGTCCCGCATTTTTGTTCTTCGTCCACAACCAGTTGAAACTTTTCCAGCATAATTCATTCTGGCTCAACTGGGTTGATGTTCGTGTATTGACACAATAAATTGAAAGAGCAGTACGTTACCTCGAAGCAAACACTAAAATGAACACAAGCGCGGCTTTGATGCACGTTCCTGTCTCAGTTTGTAATCCTCTTTACTGGAAACAGCAAACAGATTATTAGTCTGCCTCCCACTCTGTGCTGTAGGACTGAGAGGGTGATGATTTGGAGGCAGCAGATTTGAGATCTGTCATCTTTCATAACAACAACAGTCTTTTTAATGGATTTAAAATAGATGACTGGATGTGTCAATGCACAAACACCACATGTTTTCAAATAAAAAAAATCTTGGTTGTGTTTATTCAGTTACAAATTCCAACAGGGACTAACTAATGGTCAAATTTGGTAAAATAATAATTAGTGAGACTTGTCTCTTAAAGGTGTGGGACAGTCGTTTCATCAATATATTTGCAGTGGTCTCAAGTAGAAATGAATGCCTTGCAAGCTGAACTCAGGGGAAAAAACTTGAAGCGCCTGGATCAGCTTGGTGGAGTCTGCTGGAGTAGAGAGTAGCAGAACACGACAGTGGAGTCTTATTTCCTGATATTTGGACATTTCCCTCTGATTGGATAACTGCAGTGTGGCTACCACTACCTCTGTTTGCCCTAAGACACTGATGTTTTATCTCCACAAATACCACAAGGCTGGAGGAGCTTCTGCCGTGTGGCTGATTTGCTAACACTAATGGTTAGCTTCTGCTAGCGGAGATGTTCTTTGCTATTTCCTGGACACTAAACCAACAACATCCTTCCATTCTGAGTCAAGATGGGTGAGTCCATGTGTGTTAAGTGACAGTGTCGTGTAGATCTGTCATGAGACCCAAAGTTTCACCATCTATTTTCTATCAGAAGCTAATGCAGGAGATAGTTGTAGGAGACTAATTTTTTTAGCCTGCATGACAAACTCTGAGTGACTGATTATAATTAGATTAAATGCTTTTCAGTGTTCCACACTTTTAAACGTTTTATTAATTAAACTATACTTTAGAAACACATTAAATGCTAACTGTTCTCACCTTGAGCTGACGTTTGATTATTGTTGGGATGTATTTGGTATTTTTAGCCACTTTCCTCATCAACTTACCTGAATTTTTGAATGTAAACAACCAAAACAAAACGTAAGTGTAGAAAGGACTGCAGAACAAGTAGGTTTGTGTAAGAAAACCAATTAAAACAAAAATTTAAATAATTTCTTAAAGTAAAATTGATCAAACTGGAATCAGTAACTTAATATAAAACCAAAACACTTAAAGATAAAACTTTGATGAACTTGAGACAAACAACATAATCTGAGGATTGAACAAAATAACAAACTAAACCAAAAACACGACTAAACTAACAGGCAAAACTTTAGAGAAAATCATCTACAAAAGCACTGGCGGTGCCACATTTGTTTGCTTGAATTTGATGTGAATTGACTGAAGGTGGAACTTTGCTCACCTGGTTTGGGTTTAGAGAAACATCCTCCCATGGTGGGCCCAGGAATGAGGATGCCAAAGGGGAGGGAGGGAGGGAAGGAGGGATGGAGGAGAGGAAGGAGAGGGGTGGTTAGATCCTTGGGTCTGTCTGCCTGGTGAGGAGGAAACAATAACGCAGAACCGATGGTTTGAAAACCTGCAGGTCCAAGATGGCCATCGCACACGCCAGCTTCTCCATGTAATCTGTGTTTACTAGGAGAGAGAGAGAGAGAGAGAGAGAGAGAGAGAGAGAGAGAGAGAGAGAGAGAGAGAGAGAGAGAGAGAGAGAGAGAGAGAGACAGTATCAGAAACACACACACACACACACTGATGTAGCTCACACGTTTGCAAAAGTGTAAGGTCTAACTGAAGGATAAAGAGCCCTGTCATTAAGCAATAAAAACATACATATATGACTTCTCTTGCCACATGCTGGTGCAGTTACTGTTGCTTCTTAGCAAGAAGGCTGCAGGTTTGACACCCAGCTGTAGCTCGGCTGTGTAGAGTTGTTCTCTTTTGCATGCTTGGGTTTCCTCTCACACACCAAAAACCTGCATGTTAGTTTAACTGGCAACTCTAAACTGTTCCTTGGTGTGTATGATGGATGTGTGTGTGCTGTGGAAATCTGGTCCTGTTCATTTGTGTGTCCCCATGATGGACTGGTGACCTGTCCAGGGCAATAGTGGATCTAGCAAGTATGTGGCTAGCAAGGGGGCCACAATATAGAGAGGCTCAGTATTAGTCCACCATCCTTACACAAGATTTCACACTATAAATTGTATTTGGCTCCTTAGCGCTACTAGTGTTTGAACTTGGAATTGCATCCACTTATAATCATCGCACAAAGGATGGGTGAGTGGCAGGAATGGGGGACTTCAGGGGGGCAGTCCGATTTCAACAAACACATAAATAAATTTCAGCAGCTTTATCCTAGAAGGTTTCAGTACCTTCTAGGGTTCACCCACTCTGGCCCTCAAAGGCTACCATGCTGCACATGTTTGCTGTTTCTTTGCTCCTACACACCTGATTGAAATGAATGAGTAATTAACAGTGCAGAGTTAAAGGTGGTACGGAGATGATTACGTCCCTCCATTCAGTTGTAATAGAGCAGAAAACACAAAAAGCTAGCAGTATAGTAGCCTTTGAGGATTTGAGTTGGAGACATCTGTTATAGAATGAGCAATTTCAGAGCTCTGCCACTTTAGGAAAACTGTTCATTTAACCTCTCAACTCCATCCTCGATCTTACATTTTAGGGGATATTAGCTATAACACCCTTTTCTGTTCCAGAATGCTATTAAGTCTGACAACTGTAAGGAATTGGACTGATTGTGATGGAATGGGTGGGTCTGACTCTGGTGCAGCTCCACCTTTGTGATTCTGCAGCGAGCACCACCTCTCACCCCTCCCCCACTCAGGCTGCTATAAGCTGAGAAGTTCAGATATCCTTGAGGGACTCAGAGTAGAGCCACTTCTCCTCCAGAAGCAGCTCTCTTTAGCAAGTGAGAGGTGATTCTATGCTAATTTCCCCATTTGTGATGTCACAAACAGGGACTTTTTGACACAGCTTGTTTTAGGCACATAATTCCTAAAACCAAACACTGACAAAAATGGATGGCCAGGTTTTTTCATGTTGGCAGTGTTTAAAGAGGCAGATCCACATGGCAGCACAAAAGGATGCAAAAGCTTGGACGTAGTTCTGGGAGGGACAGCGGGAACATGTACACCCCCCCACCCCCACACTCTTTCTCCATAGTCAGTTTTGCCCCCTGCACTTTTAACAGTCCAAAACCAACATACGCTATATTAAATAGACACTGGTTGAGCACTAGGGCCAAGCAGAAAAAAACGCTTGTGTTGAAGCCTGTTTCCCATTAGAACCATCCATAAGTGTCATGGTCTGCATTCTGCGTCTCCCTCACATGTCTCCTTGTGTTCTCCATCCCTCTCTAGTGTCCTTCAGTTTAGATATCAGGTTTGGCTTTCTGCCTGTTTGGATTTTTTTTTTGTTCCCCATCCTAATAAAAGGGATTTTACTTTTACAAATCGCTCCTGCCTCGTGTCGTCTGGTGTTCTGCATCTAGGGTCCTAACCCCCCCCCAGTAAGTTCATCTATTGGCTCTGCTGATACTTGATAACATGTGATTGGCTGTTCCTGCCATCTGTGTTCTTGACAGTTCTGCATTCCTGACATTGCATTAAAGAGCCTCTCTAGGCTGTAGTTTTGTACATATTTTTGTATACTTACTGTAAAGACACCCCCCCCCCCCCACCACCACCACCACTTCTAAAGTCAAAACTACGTACATTTTCAAAAGGTTGAGTTTTGCATAAAATTCCCTCTAAAATGAATCTTTAATCTTTACATTTTCCCCATAAATCCAAAAAAACTGTTGCCTTTTATCTTCCAGCATTTTTCTGGTTCTTGGCTTGTTCAGTAAAAGACATAGCTGTATATTATCAGCTTCAAGCACAGAGGACAGCTGTGTAGTAAATGTCTACATGACATGCAAATCTTGTTAGTAGGAAATAATTGTGTTAATAAACATTTCTGCTTGTTACGTTTGTTCATGCATTTTACATGGAGAAACTGTTAAAAATTAACAGCCCTCTGACACCTATTAACTTTCCTGCCAGACTGTGTTTTAAAGGGAAGCAGAAGGCCCCCATGGCTCCAAAATCTTCCTTTATCACCACAGTGCCATCAGTTTTCTGCCTGCTCTGGAATTTGACTCAAACATACCAAAGACTGTAACTGGTCTGAATCTGAGCACACACGGTGACAGGTGCATCTCTCAATCCATCTCCAAATCATTCTTTTACAATCATAGAGACTGCTTGATATTCTGAGCACATCTTTATGTGCTTGAACTTCAGAAAAAAATAAGTGTGGAGTGTTTAATGGAGCACAGCTTAAAAAGACATCCTGAAAACACATGAGAAACAGAAAGATCTTAACTTAAAGTTCACAACTCTGCAGCTTCTCTTTCTGCAGAAGATGAAACATTAAGTAAGTCATATTGTTTTGCCTTTTTTAGTGAGGCATTTTCTTGTTTCTGCCACATTTTGAGGAAAAAAAACCTCAACTTTTAAAGGTGAGCTTTACTCATATTTTAAAACATTTGCAGTGGTCTGTAGTAGAAATAAATGCCTTGTAAGGCCTAATTTATACTTCTCTGTCTGTGTTGGAACCATTGGAACAGAGACACACAAAGCCATTGAGCATCGACGCAAAGGAAGATGGAGACTAGCCCCCACTTTTAACTATCAGTCTAAAGAGACAGAGAACGTAAGTTTGTGTTTGGTCAGGACACCGCTTCCTGTAAATTCATCAACAGCACCGTCTGTACCGCTTCAAAACGTAAAGATTTTTAGTGGCAGACATGGATCAGATTGAAGAATGCCGTGTGGTGAAGTTGCTAATGCTAACAGTCAGCTTAAACTAGCAGAGATGTTTTGTTGCTGTTTCCTGGACTCTAAACCAACAACAGCCTTCCCCATCGTGAGCCAAAATGGCTGAGTCCATGAATGTTAAGTAACGGTAGCTGACTGTTTTTACAGGACCATAGCGTTTGCAAAACGGGATTTGCCACGGCTCCCTGGGGAGGATAAAAGTCGTTTATAAGATCAGACCGTGGCGGTAATGTGGCGCAATCATGGCAGTTTTATAAAAGATTAGGCGATGGTGGCATAAAGGGGGTATGGGGCGGCCTCTGCGCTGCCGCAGACTTCTGTTTGTCTTGGACATAACTTGCTTTTTATTGCGATTGAAGCCGTGATCGTTAAGTTTTTTTTTAACAAGCAGCTCCTAAAGGTGTCTGTCCCCATCAGTCCCTGTGCAGTCTCTGGTGACCTGAGCATCAGCTCTAACAGAGAGGCTCACGGAGCGCTGCAACGCTCCAGTTTGCCATCTCAGCTGATTTTGTTCAAAAAGCAAACCTTATTGCCTGTGTTTACTTTAATTTTCAATAAATTTGCCAGCCGCAGCTCAGCAATAACTCCCCACATCATCATGACATCTGCCTCTGTTGCGCCAGGGCGCATACAACCGACCATTACCGCAATATTACTACCAAGTGAGGCGGAACGAATGCCGCAAAATTCGCGCAACGCCATGCCGGCGTTTATAGACATACCATTGCGGTAATATTACGCCGATTTGCCGGCATGGTGTGTCTTGTAAAAAGGTCTAGTGTGACGTAGATCTGTCAGGCTTTTCAAATCCTAGAGGTTCACCATCTATTTTCTATCTGAAGCTAATGAAGGAAATAGGGGTAGGAGACTGTTTACATGTTCAGCCTGCATGAAAAACTCAGAGTGACCAATTATAATCAGAAATAAAAAATATATATAGTTTTTAGTGAATTTAGCCAATAAACATTTCCATTTAAAAATGCATGTCATGAGCAGCGAATGACAGCATAAATAAAAACAACTTGACTTGTTGTACCCTTTGACCTCTTGGTGTGCTGGAAGTATTTTGTCTCTGATTAGTTTTCAGATTTTCAGTTTTATATGCCTCATTTATTAAAACAGCTGAACCCTCAAGAATGCACATTTAATGATAAAAATCTCAGATTTCTGACTTTTTACATCTGAGATTAAAGGGGCATTGTGGAAGTTTGACAGCCAAAACATGTATAGAAATAATAAATTTCTTCTTCATACATTCTCCTGCAATGCCCTGGTCCTGTAGAATGAGCCCTGCATGGCATTTTTACCGTGATTGCCTGTTTTTCTGTAAAATCACAGAAAAAGAGAGATGCTCGGGTCGAGCAGGCTGCTTCATGCGCGTTCACGCTCAGGCATAGCCCGTTGCATTTGCTATCCGTGGCCACTTTGTTGCTCGCCTAGTGATGAACCTTGCTACATTTCTGAGGACCCTTAGCTACTTTCTGTAGAACTTTCTTCTAGATATTTCCTGCAAATTAGCAACAAAATAAACATTTTCGCTCCGAACTGTTCTTTGAACGTTGTTTCAGCTGTCATCAAGGATATAAATGTTACAGATGCAAAAGATGTCACTGGTGCTTTAGCTCACCTAGTAAGATGTTAGACTCGTGTGCAGAAGACCTGGGTTTGATTCTGGATGTGAACATAGTTTATTTAGAGTTTCTTTTTTACATTAATGGTATTTTTTTTTACAGTAAGATGCCCAAATTTTTATTTGAGACTCGCCAAAAGGCATTGAATTCACAGATAAAAAAGATGTGG